GTTCAGCTGTAGCTCACTTTTTATGACTTTGCAACTGGTAAAAATAGTGAGATTAATAATAATAACAGTAATAACAACATTCATTGGTTCTGTCTTATGCACCAGGCACTGTTAGCACTTTAAACGTGCGATCTCCAGTTACTCCTCAAAGCAACTCTGTGACGTACGTACGGTTCTTACTTGGTCGTTTTAAGTGGGAAGGCTGAGGGTGAGCCGGAGTGAGGTGGTCGCTCAGGCTCAGACAGGACTTGACTCAGCCTTGCCCCAGCAGAGCCTGAGCTCTGAGACACTGGCTGTCTTGGGGGCATACACATCACCGCCTCTCCTCTAGTCCTCAAGGCCAGAGCGGTCATGAAAGCTGACATGAACTCACCGTTCTTGAAATAAAACGTTAGAACTCTAGTGCCCACAATGTGGCATTAGGAAGCACACAGCTGCCAGCTAGAGCTTTTTAACCTGCGTAAATTTGTTTGCATGCACCTGTGAGGTTTCAGATTGCAAAATGTTATACTTTTCTCTGAATGCAAACATGTCTTTGATTCTTGGAGGTATCAACATGCTATTTTAAGATAACGAACTGGACCAGGTTGCTCATAGGCTGTTTAGTCAAGTAAGCGCGATTACTCTTTAAAGGAATCCTCAGAGAAGAGCCACAGAGAAAAAGTGTACTGTTTCTAAGGTCATCTCTGAAGTTCAGGAGGAGGCAAGAAGATGATGCGGCCCCTTTGGAAGCCATTGGTGGTTCCTCAGAATGTCGAACATGGAGTGTCTGTTTCCAGTCGCAGTCAGGTTGACCCCGAGTCACGGCGACGCCCTGTGTGTCCGAGCAGAACTATTTCCATAGGGTTTTCAGTGGCTCACTTTTCAGAAGTGGATTGTCAGGCTTTTCTTCTGAGGCACCTTTGGTGGACTTGAACCTCCAACTTTTTGGTTAGCAGCTGAGTGTGTTAACCATTTGCAGCACCCAGGGACTCCAGAGTGACCATACGACCTAGCATTTCTACTCCTAAGTGTGTACCCAAGAGAAGTGAGAACATATGTGCACACAAAAACTAGTACACAAATATTCACGGCAGCGTATTTACAATAGCTAAAAAGTTGACACAACCCAAATGTCCATCAATTGATGCATAGATAAACAAAATGTGATGTATCCATACAGTAGAATATTATTTAGCAATAAAAACAAATGAACTTATGATACATATTGCAACATGGATGAACCTGGAAAACACTGTAGTGAGTGAAAGAAGCCGGATACAAAAAGCCATACATTGTATAACACCATTTATGTAAAATGCCGGAGTAGGCAAATCTATACAGATAGAAAGCAGGTTAGCGGTTGTCGGGGGCTGGGAGGAGAGGGGAATGGGGACTGATGGCCAACAGGTAAGGTGTTTCTTCTTGGGGTGATGAAAATATTCTAAAGTTAGATAATGGTGATGATTGCACAAGTCCATGAATATACTCAGAATCACTGAATTGTGTACCTTAGAAGGGTGAATTTTATGGTCTGCAGATTATCTCAGTGAAACTGCTATTAAAAAATAAGAAATGTAGAACTATGTGTGAAAATAAAAAGAGCAAGAATGCGCAGACTATTTGTACTCTGCTTTTCTTGAGCGTGAAATTTCGTTATGTAGCCCATTCTGCTAAAACTACTAGTAAAGTGACATTGCAGATTCCTGGGACACTAGCCTTGATTCCATTTGCTAAAAGTTCAACAAAGAGAAAAGTGGAAGACTTTCCTTTCATCTCCTCAGTGTGTGCTCTCGTGGGGAAAATCTTCCTCTGTTTATACAATTTCTGTTCAGAGACAAACGAATTGAATAGGTATATAACTTACAATGTCTATTTTCTTTCTGATTCTCTGAGTAAAAATTTTCATACATTTATAGTAATTATGAATATTTGCATGTATAAATCTCACACTATTTTTAAAGTTAAATTCCAAATTGCTTGCTAAGATGGTTACTACACTAGAAGTTCACTGGGCGAATTAGGTTGATAAAGATGATTCTAACTCATTAGGAGAGAAAGTCAGCTGGGTAAAAGACTAGAAAGTATTACATATTAGAAGACGTTGCTTTCTATTTCAAAGAAGTAATTTGGTTCCTGCATTTTCATGCCACATAAAGTGTGCTGAATTATGTCTTTGATACACAGATGACTTGTGAATGAAACGTCTTCCAGGTGTATTAGAATGTCATGGGTTGTTCTCTGTTGGAAACTGGAGTCTTTTTGTAATTAATGCCTTACTTCCTTCAACTTTGTTGTTTAAATAAGTGTACCTTGTTTCCAAGTATTGCCTTGATTCCTCCTTGGGTTTTCCCTGATGATGCTGAGGACACAGCTTTTCCCCTCAGTGGTCAAACGAGTGAATCCTATATGACATTTTCTCTAGTGACTTTTTTTTCTTTTTTTACTGCAGCATATTTTTCTCTAAGTAAACTCAATAAATTAAATCAAAATATTTACAGAAGACATTAAGTAAAAATTATTTGCTCTTCACAAACTAAGTAACCTGTTTTCTTAATACATAAAAAGAGATTCACATTTCAACAATTTGGCTTACAGACACCTGTTGTGAAAAGCAAGACCCTTCGTGAAAACACCCACCAGGCACTATCTTTTTCCCAATTCAGATTCCATTTTGAAAATGTCAGCCAAACCATAAGGCCATTCCAATCCCCAGCTCTTGAGAAGCCTTGCTTAGTTGAAAGAATACTGTTTTACGGTGCTGATCAAATCCATGATCTGTGGTGATTTCTCATAACCACCAGTTCCTGCTGCGGGACTTTGGACAAGTTGCTTAGCCTCTGTGAGACTTATTTTTCTCATCTGTAAAATGGAGGTAACTTTCTTGATCTGAGAGGAATATGTAAGAAAACATGCATAAAAGAGCCTGTTCAATGCATGGTACATAGTAAGTGCTTGGTTAGTATCTATTCCTTAATCATTTGATGGTTGGAAAATCGAATGAACTGCCTAACTGCCCGTATGTCATGGACATACATATATGAATACACTTAAAAGAGACTAGAAGAACACCGATCTAATGCAAAATCTTACTGTGTGCTATGCTTTGGGCTAGTCGTACTATCTGCAGCTGGAGCGCATATAATTTGTTTGGAGGTATGGACTGATTTCACTATTTTAACAATTGCTCAACCACTCAACGGGGGCAAAATGCACAGTCTGGCCTACGTGTATTGTTTCAGCAGTGGGCCAAAATGGTCAAATATTTGGGATCTTCAGCTATGAAACTACTTGCAATTTAACTTTATATATTTTTGGCAGTGGCGTAATAAAGTCTATTCCTTACGTCCTAGGTAAGCACACTTCTTAGTTGTACAATTCCACTGCCTGTTCTAGACTACAGGCTGGTTGGATTAAAGCTTTAAAGCACATTTATGAACTGATAGGCAAGACAACGGATTAAATTGTGTTCTTCCTAAAAGCATATTTAGCAGGCACTTTCATGCTTACTCTGTTTAATTGTGGTCAATGATATGGAAGTTGGTTATTTTCACCAGCAATGCAAGCTTCAAGCCAAATTCCAGACTGTTGTTGAGTGCCGTCCAGTCGATTCTGACTCACAACAACCCCATGTGGCAGAGTAGAACCTCCCCACAGGGTTTTCTAAGCTGTAATCTTTATGGAAGCAGATCACCAGGTCCTTCTTCCACGGAGCTGCTGGCTGGTTTCAAACCACTGACCTTACGGTTAGCAGCTGAACTCTTAACTGTTTGAGCCACCGAATCAAAATAAAACCCCACTGCTGTTGAGTCGATTCTACTCATAGCGACCCTGTAGGACAGAGTAGAAATGCCCCATAGGGTTTCCAAGATTGTCATCTTTATGGAAGCAGACTGCCACATCTTTCTCACACTGAGTGGCTGGTGGGTTCGAATTGCTGACCTTTCGGTTGGCAGCCGAGCGCTTAACCATTGTGCCACCCACTCCTTGTCATCAAATCGACCATCGGGACCCTATAGGACAGGGTAGAACTGCCCCATAGGGTTTCCAAGGCTGTAAATCTCTACAGACTGCCACAGCTTTCTCCTGTAGATCTGCTGGTGGGTTCAAACTGCTGACCTTTAAACACTGTGCCACCAGGGCTTCTTAAATTCCAGGCTAGTGCATCTCCAAACTTTAATGTGGATATGAATCAGCGGGGGATCGTCTTAAATACGGCTTCTGACTCATCAGGCCCGAGGAGGGGCCTGCGAGTCTCCATTTCTAATGAGCTTCCAGATATTGTCAGGGCTGCTAGTCCATGCCCCCCACTTTGAGCAGCAAGAGTGTGTAGAACCCACGGGGCCTAGGCAGGAGATGAATAGAGCTCATCTGGCATTGTAAATCTCAGTCCCAACTACCTGCCCCTACTCTCTGAATTTAATCTACCTCCTTACCTGAGCCCTGAAATAAATTAAACATTCAGAGGCATCGAATAGTGATGATCCTATCCTTAGCCCTTAAATATTACAGTGATGGAATCAGGTAGTAGAGTGCCTGTAGTTCCTTTGTACCATCGGCTCACCTGCCCGCCTCTCAGACCTCTTCGTGCTGTACCTCACTGAATAGCCAGAGCAGTGTAAGTGAAACATCACCATTTCCACCCTTCGTAGCTGTAGCTACACGGTGGGCCCCCACTGTATCCACAGCAAAGAACAGTGGGAGAGGGAACCGCTTAAATCCAGCAAGGCTTTTGTTACCACATGAAAAGAGTCATAGATTATTGTTTCCGTAAATTCAGGCCTCATTTTCTAATACCGTAAGTGAGCATTTATGGAAGCTTCCTAGGGAAGCTCATTTTAAGTCCTTAGTCAGTTAGGTGAGAGTCAAGATTGAGTTCCACCTGTAGCGTCCACACTGTGTAGGACTTGATTTTATGTGTAATTTGACTGCAGAGGCGTGGTCTTAAAATGTGTCAGATTAAATTCATAATAGGAAATATGTGTGGCCTGAGATGTGATAACACCATTGCTTCGTCACAGAGCACAGCAGTGGTCACTCTAAGGACAAGAGGAGAACCAGAACGATAAAATGGGCCGGAAGGAGTAACCTGGCGGAGGATGTGACGGTGCTGGAAGGCAGCTCAGCGGCCAAGGCTTTTTCTGCCTCTGGTAACGAGACAGACGTTGCAAGGGAAAAGAGGACCCACAGAAGGACGAAGCGCTTTTTATCCTACCCGCGGTTTGTCGAAGTGATGGTGGTAGCCGACAGCAGAATGGTTGCCTACCATGGAGCAAACCTTCAACACTATATTTTAACTTTAATGTCAATTGTAAGTACGTTCAAAAACAGGTGATTTATGAGGTGTCTAAATGTGCCGTTTAGAGTTTCCATCTGGCGTTTTGGAGGATCATTCAGGGCTGGCATTTCAGCCGATTCAGGCAAGTGGCTGAGGAAAACATAAGGTTCTTCATCGGTTGCTGTTTTATAATGACAGTGATGGGTGTCAATATTGAGTGCTTAGTCTGTCTTAGACAACGTGCTTACCTTAAAGGCATAATTTCCAATCCTCCCGGCGGCACTGCTAGGTAGGATCATCACCCCACCTTATAGATAAGAAAACTGAGCCTCGGAGGAGCCAGGTCACGTGTCCACAGTCACATCAAGCTAGTAAGTGGCTTAGACACAGCACGCGACCTTTAGCTTGTCCGGGTTCCAAAACCAGTGCTGTCCATCTGACATACGAACCTTGCGCAGCGAGGAGTGGCGGGTCTTGAGTCGTACTGGTGGGTGCTGGTCGTAAGCCAGAGTCGCCGGGAGCTTGTTGAAGTGCAGGTCCCACTGTTGTCCCCTCCCCGGGATTCTAACTAAGTAGACCTCAGACGAAGCTAGGGATCCCTCAGTCTATTTTTGTATTCTCATTTTGAATTGAAAACACAAGAAATTTGCATGATTGAAAAAAATCAAAGAGAGCCAAAGCATATATGATGATGAAAAAGAAACATCCTTCCCTACCCGGGCCCCCAGGCTCCTTCCCAGAGGCAGCCACTGTTAGTTTTTTCCGTGTTTCTAACCAGCACTGCCCGATAGAAATTTAATGGAAGCCACATGTGCAATTGAAAATTTTCTAGTAGCCACATGAAAACAAGTAAAATTATTCTAATAATATATTTTCTTTTTGTATCCAAAATAGCATCATTTCTACATGTAGTCAGTATAAAAATTATTAATGAGATACTTTAGGTTTTTTTTTTTCATATTAGGTCTTTGAAGTCCAGTGTGTGCTGGACACAGCGTGTCTCTTTTCAGACTAGCCACATTTCAGGTGGTCAGCAGCCACATGTGGCAAATGGCTAATGTATTGGACAACCTGACTCTATATTTCTTAGACAAATATGTATGCATAGGCAATGTTTTTTTCAAATACAAGTGGAGCATTCCCATATACTCTTCTACACATTGCTGTTTCCTTGAAATACTGGAGATTGTCCCATAGAGGCCCATATAAACCTACTTTCATTCATTTGAGCCTCGACAGATCCAGCCCTGTTTCCACTTCATAATTCAGATCTGAATTATGAATAAATATATTATTAACAAGAGTTTGATTATAAACATGGACTAGGCTGAGTCCTGACTCTGCTGCTCAGCAGCTGTGTTGCTTTGGAGAAGTTGCTTAATTTCTCTGAGCTTTAGTTTCCATAGATGATAATAGATTGTAATAGAGAGAGGCTATAATAGTCCCTAGAGCAGAGCTTGGCTGTGGGGATTAAGTGCGGACGCGTACACAGGTACAGCGTAGCATCTAGTCCGCAATAAGCATTCAGTAAGCAGTAACTCTCATAACTAATGATAATAATACCAAAAACAAAAACCCCAGGGTACCAGGTTGCTGAGAAGATGAACAAGTGCTAAACATAAAGAAGAGCAGTATTTGCAAACATGTGGTCAGTGTGAGAATTTACAAATCGGCCGTTTGGGCTTTCAAGTGAGAGGAGAGTGCTTGACAATTTGTATCTGGTGTTTGGGCCCAGAGAATTGTCAGGTCACATGACAGTGCCGTTTCAGAGGAGAACGCCTTGGAATTTAAACTGGTTTGAATTCATTGTTATCTAAAAACTGCCATCTATGAATTTTACTAAGAGACCTGAAGTAAATGTTTGTTGAATGAATGAAAACTCACAACTACAAAACGCATATGTTGGTAGAATGTAAACAGAGATAGAGCTCAGCATAAGAGAGAATTGCTTATTGCTTGCACAGCGTTCACCATTAACTTTGAAACATTTATCTCGGTTGCAGGTAGCCTCTATCTATAAAGAGCCCAGTATTGGAAATTTAATTAATATTGTTATTGTGAACTTAGTTGTGATTCATAATGAACAGGTAATAAAGTTTCTTTCTTCTTTCTTCTAACTGTACCCGAAATGGCACACCTAGTTGGTGTTGGTGGAACCCGCCGACGGTATTTCTTTTCTGTGTTTAGGAAGGACCTTCCATATCTTTTAATGCCCAGACAACATTAAAAAACTTCTGCCAGTGGCAGCATTCGAAGAACTATCCCGGTGGAATCCAGCATGATACTGCTGTTCTCATAACGAGGTGTGTGGTTTTCTTATTCACAAATGGCTTAGTTTCTGGTCGCGTTGATGGGCTAAGGCCATATATTCCTGGGACTCAGTCCCTAGAGCAGAGTTTCTCAGCCTAGACGCTATGACATTCTGGGCTGGGTAATGCTCTGTGGTGAGGGGGCTTCCCCGTGCATCCTGCCTCTACCCTCGCTGCACCAGTGGCACTCCATCCTCAGCTGTGACAACCAAGAGTGTTTTCAAATGCCCCCCCAGGGGCGGCAGAGTCACCCCGGCTGAGAACCACTAACCTGCAGGTGCCAGGTAGGTAATAAGTGTGTTATGCAGTCCTGAAAATCCACGCCCCTTATAAAGGGGGCAGGAGTCCTGGTGGCACAGTGATTAAGCGCTCGGCTGCTGACCAAAAGGTCGGCAGTTCCAAGTACCAGCCACTCCATGGGAGAAAGATGTGACCATCTGCTTCCATAAAGATGACAGCCTTGGAAACCCTATGGGGCAGTTCTACTCTGAGTTAGAATTGACTCATTGGCAGTGGGTTTGGTTTGGGGTTTTATAAAGGGGCAGCTGCTGTTCAGATTCATTGTTGCCCTGCAGGGTATGAAGCCAGTGTTGCCAGCTTTTGAGATTTGCCCGGAGCCATACATATGGATTTTTTAAAAATGTGAGATCTCTCAATTTTTACATAGCTGCAACTAGCTAAAGAAGATTTAATGCAGTTCAGGTCAACAAGGAAGGGTATGCTGGCCTCATTGTAGCTCCAGCTGGCCATGCCTGAAATGGTCACAAACAGCTACTCTTCAGTGGAGCTCCCAGGAAAGACTGCTCAGGAATATTCTCCAAGAGTCTTTAAGAAACTGGACCCACTTCCCCCAAGGTCTTAGGATAAGTCCTGGTTGGAGAGGTTTCTGGGTAAAGTCCCCCACTGCTGCCCTGTGGCTACCCCTGTGGCAGAAGAAGGCTAACATAGCTTTTAATTCTCAAACTCTTTTTGAGTTGAGAAACCCTGGCCTTGCTGGTTTGCTTTTTGTATCGCCCCCTCCCTAAATTATTTGCTATTGTGAACGCCTGGAAGCCTTTATTTGCTTGTGTTGACATGTCCTCTTCGGTGTCATCGAGACCCTAAGTGTGTTTTGCTTTCAGACAGGATATCTGCAGAGCGCACGACAAGTGTGATACGTTAGGTGAGTCCGCACGGGCATCCTCTGCGGCTTAAACAGTTTACTGCATGTTTTTATTCCAAGCCACAATTGCTTTTTAAAGTAAATCCTTGTTCATTTGTTTTTCTTCTAATAGGTCTTGCTGAACTGGGAACCATCTGTGATCCCTATAGAAGCTGTTCTATTAGTGAAGATAGTGGATTGAGTACAGCTTTTACAATAGCCCACGAGCTGGGCCACGTGTACGTTTCCTTTCAATATTTATCTTATTTCAGAGTGACCCAGACTTTTGTTCCTTCGCATCACTGAGCGCATACATGGATTTAGAGGCTGCACAGCATTTCCTGAGTCATGATAGAGTTTGAGGGTGGTGGAGCTTTGAGCCTACTTGGGAGGCGTTCCTTTGACTCCAGACAGTTGAATATACACAGAGCAGCCGCCTCAGCCACAGCTCACATGTGTCTTCGGTTTAACTGCTCAGGTTTTCTATGCATGGCATAATGTTCTTCCCTCCTGCAGACGAGAACAGGGCATCCCCACCCCTTCCACTGACGCGGAGCATGTGTTGGCTTGGAGAACTTTCTTAACATCTTTACTCAGGAGGAGGGTCCCCCAACATTGCCCTGGCCTTCAAGATTTTCAAAAATCCAGGTCATTCCTGGTTCTAGTTATATAGGGCTACCGTTCACACATTCAGCATCTAGGGACACTGATATCCCTCTTTCAGGGAAGAGAATGAACAGAGAAGAAATTTATTCAAGAGTGGTTTATAGAGTGGCCACATCATTTCCTAATGTGGTCACCAAGTGTCTGGTCATTATAGAACTGGCTTTTCCCTTCTGTCTTCAGAGACAGAGCATGGAATGAGATGATGTCAATTTACTAGAAATTATTCTGATTTTTGATCTGCATTATTTTCTTCCTAGAGTAATTAAAATATTTATATCTTTTTAAAATAATTTACTGAAAGTATGCCTTTTCCCAAAGCAAAATACTTCATTTATTTGTTTGCTTACTATTGTAGTTTAAGTGAAAATTTACATTTCAAGTTAGTCTCTCATACAAAAATTTATACATACATGGTTATGTGACCCTAATTGCTCACCCTATACTGTGAGAGCACACTCCTCCTTTCCACCCCTGATTCCCATGTCCATTCAACCAGCTCCTAACCCTCTCTGCCTTCCCATCTCACTTCCGGACAGAAGCTGCCCATTTAGTCTCTTGTATCTACTTGAGCTAAGAGGCACACTCCTCACGAGTATCACTTTATGTCCCAGAGTCCAGTCAGATCCTTGTTTGAAGAGTTGGCCTCGGAAATTGTTTTAGTTCTGGGCTGATAGAGAATTCAGGGGCTGTGCTTTCCAGGGTTCCTCCAGTCTCAGTCAGACCATGAAGTCTGGTCTCAGAGGATACCTTTAATATATTTGTGTATCAGTCTGCGTGTCTGTGTTAACTCTGTTTAGAGCCGACATCATCTATTCAGCAAACATTTTCATTCGGCAAATATTTCTTGAAGGTACCTCCCATGCAGTGTACTGCGCATGAAGTGAGATGCATATATACAGATATTTGCAACTCAGCTCAACATATAACAGGTGTATTTGAAGACCAGTGCCTTTCAAATGTATTTTAAAAGTACTGTTCTTTGCTTTTCCCCAAAGGAAATATTGTGCAGATGCCCAGTATTTAGAACATAAAAGAGCGTGGCTTTCAGTCAGGAAGTTGTAGCAGCCCGCAGCTCTCTGTCATCAGCATCCTCCCTGCCTTTTGGTTTCTGCAGCAGCTTCGTGGAAATCAAGAACTCCTTGGAACTCAGCTTGAAACCACTGGTCCAACTGGCATTTCTCAAAGCATGAGGAGCCTGACACCAATTCCATGACAGTGTTGTTGTTGTTATTGTTGGGTGCCATCGAGTTGATTTTGACTCATAACCACCCCCTATTATACAGTAGAACTGCCTCCAATCTTTACAGGAAGGAGCCCTGGTTGTGCAGTGGTTAAGTGCTCAGCTGCTAACTGAAAGGTCTATGGTTCAAACCCACCAGCTGCTCTGCGGGGGAAAAGAGCTGGGATCTGCTCCTTTAAAGATTATAGCCTAGGAAACCCTATGGGGCATTTCTGCTCTACCCTACAGGGTTACTATGAGTTGGAGTCGACCCCACTGCACACAACAATAGTTTTTACGGGAGCAGATTGCCAGGTCTTTTCTCTTGTGGAGCTGCTGCATGGTTTTGAACTACAAGCTTTTCAGTTAGCAGCTGAGCACTTAACCATTGTGCCACCAGGGCTCCTTCCATGAAAATAATCTGTGAAAAAAGGAGTTTTGTAATCAAATAATTTCAAGAAACATTTCATAGTCTAGACCTGCTTAGAGTCAAAAGACTCAGTAATATAAAGTCTTTAATAAATCCCGCATTAAGTCAACTTCTTGGTTTTGTTCAACACAATGTTTCCAAACTTGTTTTAACAGAGCTTATTGGGAATTTTTTATACATTTGTTTTGCATAAAATCTAGTAAATTCCTTTAGAATTTTAAGTAGGAGATGAGATTTGACCATAAAGAATAGAGTGGGATTTCAACAGGGCAGCTTTTCATGACTTATGGAATGGAATGAGAGCAGTTACAGAGATAGGAATGTATTCAGAGGGCAGAGAGTTTGTGTGATTACCAGATTAACATTTACGACCTGGTTGAATGGACGTGGAACTACAATAAGGCTAGGAAAAGTACACCGTTTAAAGAAATGAAATTACTTTCCTGTTAATCCCTTCCGCTTACAAACTTCTCTTCTAGCCAGCCAGTTGGTAAAGTTGGCGTTTTAAGGAAAGTGAAAATGTTGAGCCACAAAACCCAAATATCTTCAGCTGTAGAGCAGTGTCAATGCAGGGTTAACAACCTTCCCCGCAAAGCCATGAAGTTGGCATTGTCCTAGGAACTTTTATTTACATTATCCCTTCTAATCATGGTAAGAACCCCACAAGGTAGATAGTATTGTTTACCTGTGTTTCACTTAGAGATATTAAATCATTTGTTCAAAGCTTTATAGCATCTGGACCTTTATCACCTTATCCAAAGGATCTGAGATAGGGATTGGGCTGGGAGGCAGACGTGTGGCTCTGGGCTGAATTGTTCACACTCTCCTGACCTGGGCAAGTCAGCCTCTCCCGACAACGCCCGCTTTGTTCCCCAACCTGCAGAATGGGAAGAATACTTATCCCCCCATCTCAAAAAAGTGTCAGAAGGTAAAAAATGAAATAATAAGTGAAGGATGTGAGTTGATAGGTTGAACTTATTAACTCATTAATAAGTCATTTTTGCTTTGGGGCACTCTCATATTTTAAGGAAAGTGAAACTGTATTAATTTGCTATAGTACTTTATAATGGATTTTCTGATGAACTTTAAAAATTATATTTCGAATTTTTTTTAATTTAAAAATTACACATTAAGTTGTTACAATCGTGACTTTATGGTAATATGCAACACAGGAGCTGTTAGGGGGAAAAAGCAATTGATTTTGTTGTGTTTATTGAGCATAATTGTATGCTTCAAAAACAGCTCCGACCTGCTTTTTCCAGCTTCACAGACACAGAATCTAAGAGTTAGGAAGAATCTGGGAGGTAATTGAGTCTCTACAAAATACAGAAGTCCTTACTCAGTCAGTATTCCTGACAAAGCTTGTGTGTCTTGTCTAATGGGAAGGGATATAGCATAGTAAATGTGGAAGTTTTGGAATCAGACTGAAATGGAATCAAGTCCCAGCTCCCCCTGACCTTAGTAACCGTGTGACCTTGATCAAGTAATTAAACCTCCAGAAGGTTGGCAGTTCGAATCTACCAGGCACTCCTCGGAAACCCTATGGGGCAGTTCTGCTGTGTCCTATAGGGTCACTACGAGTCGATGGCAACAGGTCTGTTTTTTTTGTTTTTGTGTTTTGAAGGGGGTAGGGCTCAATTAGGAGCCATGGTGGCACTGTAGTTAAGCGCTCAGCTGCTAACCAAAAGGTCGACTGTTCAAACCACTACCCACTCCATGGGAGAAACGTGGCAGTCTGCTTCCGTAGACACTACAACCTTGGGAAGCTTAGGGGCAGCTCTGCTCTGTCCTGTAGGGTCGCTATGGGTTGGAATCTACTCGACTGCAAAGGTTTGGTTTATTTTAATCCTCGGTTTCCTCATCTCTAAAATGTGGATATAAATAGCACTGTTCATTGGGTCAGACTGGTGATTAAATGAAATAAAGCATCTAAAGCATTTAGCACACTTCCTGGTGCACTGTGAATAATAAAAAAAAATCTTGGCTATTATTGTTTAGTAAGTGCACAATAAATATTTATTATTATCTAGCCCTGCTAAGAGCAAAATGTGCTTGGATTTGCAAGAGAATACTCTGTTTACATGGTGCAGCAAACTTGATTTTATCAGTCATGGTTGGGGTGGAGGATGCACATCAGTTCTCTGAACCGTGGTGGAAGGAAGATTTGAACGTTTTGCTTGAGCTGAGTTTGTTGATACAGGTATTAAAGGGACACTGCAACCAGGAGCTGGAAACTTGGGCAGCCTTTCTTTTAAGAAAACAGACTCTTAATCACTAAGAACAACTAATACTAAGTTCAAACAAGACAGATTGAGTTTTTTCATCTCTACTGGCAATAACTGAGGGGTCTAAAATTTTTAAAGAATAAAAAAACACGAGAAGTTAATGGAATAGACGTCATGGGCTTTCACAGCAGCTCTTATTTTTATTTGAAACAAGTCTTCACGTTTCTGTCTGACCCACTTATTTCTGTATCTGAGCAGAACTAGTGAAGGGAATTCCTCCCTAAATGCTAAATTAATCACATGCATCAATTTTGTAATTGAGGACAAAGAGGACAGCCCCTCTGAACTCGTCACCCAGTGGATAATTAGCTGAGCTGAGAACGGCAGGCGGGTCAGAGAACTGATGTTTCTGGATTGAGAAATACTTCCTATCATTTCTTTTTCCACTTCCTCTGGTCAAGCCAAGAATGGCAAGTATGTGTTAATGCCACGGCCCTGTTCCCTCCCAGGCCCAGGAGGACACTGGCAATCCATCACAGACTTCTCTCAGGCGGAACCTGGATTAGTTTAAGAATCGTTTTGTGCCTGACTTTTCAGGAAGCCAGTCCCAATCAGTTGATGTTGGCATGAGGCAAGAAACTCTTCCCGTCTCTGAGTGAAGCCACTGAATCGGCCAGCCTCTGGTTTCCATGCTGTAGCTTTCTTTCATGGGTTTTATGTGCACGAACTTTGCATGTCTTTGTATTGATACACCTACGTGTCAGCCTGATCCAAAAAGGGGGAGATGCCAAAATCCACAGTGATCATCGTATTAGAAAGCCATTAGCTTCACTTTTTGACACCCGAATGACTATATTCACATTATGACAACCTGCCGAATTCCTGACTCTCTAAGCTGGCCTTTAACACAGCTTATCAGGAATTCCAAGGACCGTGTTCTAGCACCAACTGCAGCACGTTCACAGCCTCTGCAAGTCCAAAACGTACATTTAAACCAAATAATCGCCCACCCCATACCTCATTTTTTATCTGTTAAAGGCACTTTGTACTAAGTTAGGTGAGAAGTACGTCATAGCCTGTACCCCGTCTCCAACTGTCTGTTGAGTTTTGTCCTGCTCACCGTGAGCCAGCTTGTTATCCACGATGCGGTAACCAGTTCGTTTTTTTCTCCTAGGGAAGTGCACTCTTGAAGCAATTACAACAGCGTGATCGCTCGGTTTGTTGACATTTTCGTCCTTGTCTTGTTGGCCTTAGGTTTAACATGCCGCACGATGATAACAATAAGTGCAAGGAGGAGGGAGTGAAGAGTCCCCAGCACGTCATGGCTCCAACATTGAACTTCTACACCAACCCCTGGATGTGGTCGAAATGTAGTCGGAAATACATCACTGAGTTTCTAGAGTAAGACTTGTTCCTTCGGCACAGATTTCTACTCCTGGCCCATGTCTAGTGAACTAATTGTGGAAAGACTGTGTAGAGTCCAGCCTTCCTTTTGAGTTGTTATTTTTGTTGACATTCCTTGGTGAAGGGAACAAAAATACTGTCTGACATCCCCGCAGTTCATATCCTGGCCAGAGTTCAGAAGATAATAGACTAAACGCAGGAAAAGGGTTGCGGTTGTAAAGAGAGCATGTAAATTTTGCCTTACTTTTGGTAAAGCTTTGAAATTTGTGAATGCCTTGCGGGAGGGACCATGCATGCGATTCCATGATGACAGCCACAAATATTTCTATGATTCTAACTTAGTAATTTTGGCTTGGAAATGAGTGGAGGGGTGAGAGGATCCCAAAGAAGATTATGTGGGTAGATGAACGTTGCAGCAGACCCCATGCTGTCGTTGAATTGAGGATATCTTCTCTTTCTCGCTCCCTCTCTTCTCCTCTCATTTTCTTGTTTTGTTTTTAAGCTTCCTGCCAGGCTGCTCAAAGATTCAGTTACTTTATACAATGTCCCTGTGTCACAGATTTATTGTCCTTCTGTCCTAGAAGTACAAAAGGTTAAGTGATTTTCCCAAGGTCACCGGGTGTGTATTTCTGCAACCACCAGGAAGGGGGGGCTTTATTAATTAGAAGTCACTGGGTCTGAATTTTCCAGTAGAGGTGTTTGCAGAAAAGTGGAAGAACTGGAGGGTTGCTGTTTTTCTTCTTAACCAGATGACGTAAGGTGTTTTCTTTCTATGAGTCACTGATTCACTCACTCACTCATCCAGTCAGCAAACTAAACAGCTGGTGCTAGGGACAAGGCCCCGCGCTTGGAGGAAAAAGGTTCTTTGCCCCTAAGAAGCTTACAGTGTAGTGGGGAAGATAGTTAAAAATAAATACGTAATTGTCCCCAACTGTGATAAATGCTATAACAGTATGTATTTCCTACTGGTTATGCGTGTTATGGAGCCCTGGTCGTGCAATGGCTAAGAGCTCAGCTGCTAACCTAAAGGTCGGCAGTTTGAATCCACCAGCTGCTCCTTGGAAACTCTATGGGGCAGCTCTACCCTGTCCTATAGGGTTGCTATGAGTTGGAATCGACTCTATGGCAGCCGGGATTTTTTTTTTTTAAAGTATATATGGTTCTACAAAGAAGTTTACACTGAAATATAACTTCAGTTTTTTAACTTAACCTTGGATGAAAAGAATAAAACAAATATAAACAAGAACCATCCTCTACCAGTCAGATGGGGGGATGGTCTTCACCTTGGTCTGGGGCCCTAACAGGCGTGGTCTCATCGACCCCTCTGACCCTCTTTCTCCTTCCGTAGCACTGGTTATGGCGAGTGTTTGCTTAACGAGCCCGAATCCAGACCCTACCCTTTGCCTCCCCAACTGCCAGGCCTCCTCTACAACGTGAACAAACAATGCGAATTGATTTTCGGCCCAGGGTTTCAGGTGTGCCCGTATATGGTAAGTGGTTGGGGCTGTTTCCGCCCTCCTACGCTGGTTCTCGTTTTTGTTGTTTTCATTCACAGTTTTACATCAGAGTCTCACTGTAACACAAGCTACCCCAGGAAAAGTTGGGAATGACCTGTTGACGGTTAATGCTGATACTAGGAATGATGATGATAACCAGTGATACGGCTCAGTATTAAAGGGTGCTTCCTCATGTCACTCTCACGACAGCTCAAAAGGGAGACACCGTTAACTGTCATTTTACACAGGAGCAAGTGAGGCTCAGAGAGGACAGAGCGGACAGTGGCGGAGCTCAGCCCTCTTCTGTCCTTGCCTTTGATCTGTCCTGGTGACCTGCAGTAAGGTACTCCTTGAGGTTCAGTAAAGGTCATTCATGAAACAAGCCTGTTTTCTCTGTTTCACTTGTCAAGACTATGTCTTAGGACCCTCTGGGGCTTGCGATCATTTCTGGGGTAGCTCAGCTGGGGATGAGTGTGTGCTGTTTCTCGTGTGTGTCTCGGGCGTTGATACCAGTGATACGATCCAGGGATCGTCAGGTTGCATGTGAGCATCGCTCTACTTCTGTGGTTGTCCCATCCCATCCTCTTGGATTTTTGTTTGTGTGTTTGGTCGGTCACTCAGTTGTTTTGCTGGGGGAGACTCTGGAGACAGCATGGTGAATTAAGAAGTACAGTGATTCCATGGAAATAATGTAAAAATTTATCCATAACACTACTTATTGCAGTGTTACTCGTGATAGCAAAAATTAGAAGTCATCCAAATGCCTAACAGTGAAATAATTAAGCAAATTGTATCTACATTTGGTGCAATATTATACAGCTGTTGACCATGACATACACACAGGAACATGCTTCTGGTATAATTTTAAGTCAAAATAAGAGGATAAAGAAGCGTAGAGTATGTTCTAATGTAAAAGCAGAAAGTAAGATTTCAGAAAAGAATGGATAGTTTGTGACTTTTTCCTTTTTTAAAAAAAATAAATTTTTAGTACCTTCTGAATTTTCTATGAGGAGCATAGCTACTTTGATAATGTATAATTTTTTTAAAATTATCTTTAAAAAGTATATCCTTAAACAGATAAATGTATCAAGTTGTGTAAATAGTGTTCAGAGGGAAAAAATGCAAGTTGCTGAGGACATCCACATGATGCTATTTGAATAAAACTTAAATACATACAGCACAAAAAAACACGAAAAAACCAAACCCATTGCTGCCAAGTCGATTCCGACTCGTAGCAACCCTGTAAAACAGGGTAGAACTGCCCCATAGGGTTTCCAAGGAGCAGCTGGTGGATTTGAACTGCCAGCCTTTTGGTGAGCAGCCAGACGCTTAAACCACTGTGCCAGCAGGACTCCACACAACACAAAGCTGTGTATTATTGGTCCGTTTGTATAGCTTTGTAGTAAAGCAATGAGCGTGATGAGACGAGGAACACCATCCAGGACGGTGGCCGTCTCTGGGGAGAAGGGGAGGTGGATAGGAAGCAGGATGTGTACCCAAGGGCCTTCAGCTGTGTCTGCAAAGTTTTATTTCTTTACTGGGTGGTGGTTATTATGTTATTATTTTGTAATTTATCTATGCTAAAATATTTCACAATATTTTGTCCTTTCTTTCCTCTGACAAGCTCTAAACAAAGTCCTAGAACGGAGTGATAGTATGATTATAATGTGACATTATGTGGCATAGTCAGAAAAAAAAGGAGCCGTGGTGGCACAGTGGTTAAGTGCTCAGCTGCTAACCGAAAGGTGGGCAGTTCGAACCCACTAGCCACTCCATAGGAGAAAGATGTGGCAGTCTGCTTCCATAAAGATTACAGCCTTGGAAACCCTGTGGGGCAGTTCTCCTCTGTCCTGTAGGGTCGCTGTGAATCAAAATTGATAACGTAACAGGTTTTTGTAGTTGGAGAAAACAAACACTAGTTTGAGGGTCAAGCCGGACTTGAACTCAAATACAGCTTTCCGTGTTCTAGTGTGATATTGATCTCCTTACTGCCTGTGAGCCTCAGTTTTCTCATCTGCAATGTGGGGAGGTGTTGCTGAGGACCCGATCACATCATGTAGGTTTCTGATACATTGTAGTTTCCTCTTGGAGGAAATAACTTCATCCAAGCATAAAGATGTGTCTCATGGGCTGCTCTCTATGTCCCTTGGAATATTTGATCGATTATCATACAAAAGAAAAATTCCGTTTCCAACCTGCACTCTGTCACTGGCAAAGCCTCAGGTGGAAAGCAATCCTTACTTGGTTCGATATCTTCCTAATCACATCGTTGCTTTCTTGTTGTTCCACTCACTTGAGCAGATGCAGTGTAGACGACTCTGGTGCAATAATGTGGATGGTGCCCACAAAGGCTGCCGGACCCAGCACACACCCTGGGCTGACGGGACGGAGTGTGAGCCCGGAAAGGCAAGTAACGCCCCACCCCATCCTGCTGTCTCAGGGCAGAAATGTGCAAGATTTTGGCGGAATGATCAGTCACCATTGTTTATAACAGAATGCAGTACATGTTAGCATGCATGTTACTTTTTTAAGGAGGGGGGTTGGCTTACTATTGAAAATTGCGGAAACTTATAGCCTAGTGCTGATACCTGACACAGCTCTCGTTATCACCTTCGTTTTAAGGTATACTTTTTTCTTATTTTAACATTTTGGAAACTACAATGTGCTTCTCAGTTTATGGGTAAATTTAATATGGGTTTGTGTTTGTTTTTCTTCTCTCTGTTTTGGAAAGCTTTAATTAAGTCGATGGAGCACCTTAGAATCAAGGCAGTACAGAAATGCAGCCTACTTCCCCTACTCACTGATAGGATACGGGATTTACCAGCCTGTCTTCTTCCCTTAAGGAGCTATGATGTCACCTGGGATATATCCAACTCTAAATCCTAATGAGCTGGTCACAGTGGTTCCCACTTGTTAATAACTAAACACAATGTTACTTGCATGGACAGATGATAACAGTCTCCCACACACCGGGCGTATCATTAACTCAAACTTCTGCACCTGGTGTCCATCTAAAGCAAAAAAGGGTAGCATGTTAGTGATACCATCATCATCATCACCCGAAGTTTTTGGTTGCAAAAAGTTTTAGATATAAATCCCGATTTTTACTTTTTCCGTATGGAAAACAGCATTCTGTCACTTACCAATGACAATCCCTGGACTATATTTCTCAGTCTTTCATCATCCTTATGTATATTTTTCCTTCTTCTCTTCCCATTGTCCACTTTACTCACTTTTAATATTTTATTCTTCCTCATTTCCTTTTCCTCCACTTTACCTTATAGACCCAATAGTTCCCAGGATGTTTAAGTGGAAGGGGACCTTAGAGGGGCAGAACTTAACTCTTTCTTCCCTAATTGTGTAGATGAGGGTGCTGAGGAAGATGAAGGACATGCCTGAAAACCACTCAGGCCACTGGGCCAGAGCCACCCCATAACCCAGCTTCTCCCCGCTTTCCCACTCCTCCATTGTTCTGCCTGAAGGGGCAGCAGGGTCTGGTGGAGTGGACACAACTCAGGCTCACCGAGCACCTTGAGTTTCTGATCAGCAGACAGGAGGACCAGCGGTTGCTTCACCCATCTCTCAGGGTGGTTAAAGTTAAACAAGCTAGGGGGTAGTAAAGTTATTTGAAAAATATAGAGTCCAACACCACAATAAAAGATTATAATGAAGATGATTTTGTACCTGACTTAATCGGTAACTAAGCTCATGATCTAACTTTTCAGTGGCTAGGACCTCAGCAATTGGGAGTCAGCTTTCCCCGGTGATAACCTAACAGAAATACCATATTATAGACATAGACATTACAGCTTCTGGAGCTTTCATTGGCTTGACATATAATTGTTCATTATAGTAATAATCATTATCTATTAAGCCCATGAAAGCTATATATGTATGTATTTCCTTGACCAAAGTGTGGATTTCATACTTCTGTGGAACGTTTAACTTAGCGTGTTGGTTCCCAGAGGATCATAGAACTGAGTGAGGTTTCCACGGTGGTCATTGATGGTGAGTGTGCCACTCATTCTCAGAAAACTGGGGTTTGGCCACAGAGTCCTTCTAAACACACTGACCCTGACAGCTGCTACCAGTTGGTGAGAGACGGCAACAGACAGGACACCTAGCTGACAGCCTGGGTTAGTGCCACCAGCTATGCCGCTTAGGTCGGATCTGACTGAGCTCAGCAAAACCACTGGTGGGGTGTTGGAGTTTTTAGTCCATCCTGTGCACCCACCCACTGTGTCTACCTTGACACGTATTATTGCCAGAAAAACCACAACAAAGAAGAATTGTCAGTAGTATGATGAAGTGAATTATATTTAGTAAAATTATCATGAACAGGCTATCAAGCTCCATATAGGCAATTTAAAAAAAAAAACAAAAACAGCTGCCATGGAGTCAGTTCTGACTCATGATGGCCTAATGTGTGTCAGAGTAGAACTGTGCTCCATAGTGTTTTCAGTGGCTGAGTTTTCCAAAGTAGATCACCAGGGCTTTCCGCCGAGGCACCTCTGGGTGAATTCGAACAGCCAACCCTTTGGCTAGCCGCCAAGCACTTAATCATCTGTGCCACCCAGGGACTCCTGTATAGACAATACCAAAAAAAAAAAAACAAAACCAAACCCATTGCCATCAAATCAATTCTGACTCATAGTGACCCTGTAGGACAGAACAGAACTGTCCCATAGGGTTTCCAAGGAGCGGCTGGTGGGTTTGAACTGCTGACCTTTTGGTTATCAGCTGAGCTCTTAACCACTGCACCACTTGGGCTCCATATATAGACAGTAGGGGTGAGTAATAAAATGGAAGAAAATACATTTGTTTTTACTTACTCTTGCAGAATATTAATTTAATTATAATGATAAACATGATTCCAAACTAGAATCCGTTCAAGTCTCCATTGTGAGTATTACCAGGCTTCCCCTGGGATTGAGGTCTGCTTTGTGATTTGACAACATGGCGGCCTTTACGTGTACAAGGCGATGTTGTAAAAGAACAGTCTATAATAAAACTACGAAGATATGTGAAGAGTCCTACACTGACTTTTTCCATGAGTTATGGTTTCTGTCTTTTTCTAATCTTCTGTTTTTGTAGTTAGAAGATAAGGGATTGCAGGGTAGTCTCATACCTTCCCTGGGATGGGGAACTTTAAGAGAACCTTTGGAAGACTCTTTCTTTCAACGTATGCTTGTGTTCAGCAGGGCAGGAAGGACACTTAAAACTGTTCCGAAGGCAGGCTCAAAACAGCTGTGGAGAAGCAACTATGCAGAGAAAATGATAGGGATATCTTTAGTTGTGTTTTAGGAAGTCTAGCATCTCTTATTAAAGATGGGGGTAAGTGTGTGTATTCCTCGGAAGAGTTACGTTGTTGTTAGGTGCTGTCTGGTCGGTTCCAGCGCATAGCGACCCTGTGTACAACAGAACAGAACACTGCGGCCCTACACCATCCGCGCAATCTCAAGAGTGTTTACGCGTTTTGCAAATGCCAACAATGGTAGCTGTGTTGGCATGGAAATTCTTTGTGGTGTTTTTTTGTTTTGATTTGATAGAATTGGCAGTAACACCATATGCCTGGTCCCTGGATGCCAGAAAATTCTGACTCCCTTTGCCTCCTGGGTTTTGTTTGTTTTTTTCCTTCTCCTCTTTCTGCCCTGTTCGCTGAGCAGTTGTCTATCTTGGGCTGCTGACACAATGTTATTTTGATGAATGACTCACTGATGTCTCTCTATTTTCTCCATTCTCTTGTTAAGTCATTAAGGTTTTCATTTTAGCCCTGTTGGCGAATCTGAGTTTGAAATGCTTTTAAGCATCCTTGCGGCAAAATTGACCTCCAAGTCCCTTTCCAACCTCTTAAAAAAAGATGCATTTATGTAAAATATCATTTAAATGGCTTTGGACACTTTTAGGAAAGGCTGATTATATTTTGCCTCTGGCTTCACCATCCACTCAGTGCTTTCTTATGATGTAATGGCTAGTCCAGGGTGTAATTATTGTTTGTCAGTTTGCCTAGTAAAGGACATCATCTTGGCATTTGCCTGCCAAACAGCTCCATTTCCAGCCTCTGTCACCTTAGGCACTTTCCTTATTCCTCTGAGGCTCTTACCCTCTTTTGGACACCAGTCAATGGTCATACGGTAAGAAATGTTTAATTCACCTACCAGGTTTTAATAAAGACTACCAGGTAGTAGTCTTCTAAAAAAAAAATGGACCCTATAAGGACATTTTATTGCAGTGCTGAATTGTAGCACTACGACAAACCCATGTCCTTGTTTTGTTCTGAGGTTTATGGTCATGCTTAATGACAATTATGGTCTCTTTGGAGTTTGCTCATGTGTGGAGGTAAAGAACAGAGAGATCAAGAGACTGAAATCTGAAGTGTCAAGAGGAAAAAAAAAGGCATTTCGAGGCAAATTCTTAAAAATCCATGAATAGTCATAGGAATTTTCTCCTTACTTGTGGAATTTATAAAATGTGTTTCTAACAGCAAGATTTGAGGGCTGAATTTGGGCATCAGCTATGACCTCAACTGTATATTAATTAGGAATTTTGTTCAGGTGAGATTCAATTATAGTAGTGTAAGCAGATTGAGTCTTTTTCTGACACACAAAAACTAGCCCAGAGGTAGGTAGGTCAGGACTGTTATGGAAGCTCCACAAAGTTATCAAAGATTCAGGCTCCTAATTTCTTTCTTTTTTACCATCTTATGCAAATGACTTTCTCCTCAAGGTCATAAAATGGCTGCTGGAGCTCCAACCATCAAGTTTTAGTTCCAGGCAGGATGAAGCCAAGGGCAAGGAACAAAGGGGCAAAAGAGTCTTCCCAAAAATCCTGCCTGATGAATTCTGCTGCTGTCTCTTTGACTACCCTTATCTGTAGGGGAAGCTGGGAAAATATAGATTCTGTTACCAAGGATGAAGGAGAGAATGGATATTGGGTGGGCAACCTGGAGTCTCACCTAACCATCTTGTTAATCTCTTTTGTTTTAAATTTCATTCTTTATTTAGTTGTCAAAAATTGTCCCCATTAGCTCACAATTGAGAGACAGCACGTGTAGCAGCTAAGAGCATACCTTCTTGGGCCTGTGTTCCCAGCTCAGCTCTTAGTGATGCGTGGCCTTACCCCCATACTCCGTTCTCTCTTCTGTAGAAATGGAACAACAGTAGTGCCTACTTCATAGCGTGGTTGTGAGGATTAAGTAAGTTGATATAGAAAACATGCTCAGAACAGTGCCTGACATACAGTCAGTGCTACACATACGTTTGCCATTATCATTATAATTTCAGTTTAAGTTGTGTCCCCTGTGTGCTAAGCTGTGTATTACATGCTTTAGATTTAAAAAAAAAAGCCACTGCTGTCGAGTCGATTCTGACTCACGCTCTAGATACACTATCTCACATTGTACTCAAGACAGCTTTGGCAGGTAGCCCCCATTTTACAGCTGTGGAAACAGTTCAGTGGCTCACCCAAGGTCACAGAGCTGGTATGTGGCAGAGCCACGACTGAAGCCCAGACCTGCTTGACAGCAAAGCTCCGTTTCCTCCAGACCTGCGCTGGCCGACCTGGCAGGCACTGGTCACCCGTGGCTTGTGAGCACCTGAAGTGTCTGTCTGAGCTGAGATGTTCAGTAAGTGCAGAATACACACCAGGTTTTGAAGACTTAGTGTGAAAAAAAAGAGTGTAAAAAAATCTCATTCATAACTTTGTGTATTAATTACATGTTAAAATAATGTTTTAGATGTATTGGGCTAAATAAAATATTAAAATTTACTTTTAAATGCGGCTGCTAGAAATTTTTTAACTACATATGTGGCTCAAGTTACCCTTCTTTTGGACAGCGGTGGTCTAGACCACCCTAGCAAGCTACCTCTCTGTGTATTTATTTTTATGTGCATATATTCCAGGAAGAAAGATGTGACCATCGGCTTCTGTAGAGATTTACGGCCTTGGAAACCCTGTGGGGTTGCTATGAGTCAGAATCGACTCCATGGCAGTGGGTTTGGGTTTATATTGGAATGTTCAAGACCACTGTAAAGGAAAATACGAAATGATTTCTAGGGAGGTTTGTGGTCACTCAGCCTCTGCCCAAATTTCCTGGGTACTGAGTTGCCCAGGGTTCAGATGCAGAGTCTTTGAAGCCTCAGCCAAACAGCCCGGGGAAACTGACATGTGCTCAGATGCTGCAAGAGGCTAATGACAAGCAGAAGGCCCAGCGCAATAGGGAAACGTTTATTGCACCCTTTAAATAATTGTTCACCAAGCCTCTGGTGGGGCCACCTGGGCCCAGGGAGACTTTCACCGCCTCTTATTTTTCCACCTTCCCCTAAACTACTCCACCCTGGCCGAGCGGGCAGCCCTGACTTGCCCCAACCTTCCTGGTGTCCCTCTGCCTCTTCCCTAGGTGGCTGTGTCCTGGGGATAAATCCCACAGCAGCCACCAGCTCCGCTTCAGAGATCTGAGCGCGCCGCGGGCATCCCCTCCTGTAGCCACTGCCTCCACTCTTCCTTTGTCCCCTGCTCTGTGACCTCAGCTTTGTGTCAGAGCCTCATGCCCCAACAATGGCAGAGGGCTGAAATGAGCTTCTCGACTCCCTTGTCCTGCTGAGGAGTTTTGTTTTGTTTTGTTTTTTAAACATCGTGGCCCTCTTCCTGCTCTGGGCTGGTGAATCTGAAACCATTAGTAACAAAAGAGCCATAAAGTTTAGGGCTCTCTGTAATATTCATTTGACTTCAGTCTCATCCTGTGTGATTTCTTGGAGTGAGTTTATAGGAATCATGTAACTAGCTTTTTTCCCCTCTCCTATTTAATTAAAACTGAGTTTTCAAACCCCCTGGGAGCAATGAAGCCTTCCGTTTTCCTGGGCTCATAACATCTGTAGCCCCTGGGAGTGGTGATTCACTGTGCAAATCCAGTAATAACTCATTTGGGCAATATCTACAACCAGTTTGCCTGTTGCCAGTCTTCATTTGCCCAAGCAGACTAAACACTGGAGTTACCCGCCAGTCTGGAGCCAGACTGTCATTGGCCAGTTTATTCAAACCAGTCATATTAGAACACAGCCTAAAATCATTAAGTTCGAGATTAAAATCCCCACAACTTCCGTTATTCATAAAGATGATGAATTTGCGGCACCAAGCTCTCCCTCACTGTTCCCCTTATTAAATACAGCACTGCAAGTTTGGATTTTGTGTTCCCAAAGAAATGGAGGTCCCTGTGACTGACGGATCCTGGGGAAGCTGGAGTCAGTTTGGAACCTGTTCAAGAACATGTGGAGGGGGCATCAAAACGGCCGTTCGAGAGTGCAACAGACCCGAGTAAGTCCTGGAGCTCAGCGCTTTGTTATTGCGAGAGCCGGAGTGCGGACTCTTAAAGGGGATCCTTTAGCTGGAAGCAGATGAGCGCTGTGCAAGTTAGAGAGTGGGTGCCCTCAGGGGCCGCCTAGAGCAAAGGCGTCCAACTCCTTGACCCAGGACAGTTCCCTGTGAGTTATTGCTTTTCTCCCATGATCTTTGCTACTGAAAGTTTTGTCCACCCAACAGTTGATGGTTTTGTGTGGGTTGTTTTCCAATTTTTGTGCTCAGGCACATCTCACTGCCCACCCCCCACCCTCCGGCCCAGCTTGAGACAGCATGCTAATAGAGTGAACAGATAGAATTTCACAAGGAAACAAAGAAATTGGATGTTTTCATCCAGGTTGTAGATGAACATACCCTCTTCAGTCGGCACCGACAGGCTGAAATGTGCTTGCTGACCCCTGAGGCTGCATTTGCAGACGTCGAGGGACCCAAGACCCCAAGTCGGGAATGACTTTCTGAATCCATCCAGTCGTTTTACGGGGCGGGGTGGGGGGGCACTGAGGCTTCCACCCCACAATCTGACGGTTTGCAGATTGGGAGTCCCTGCCTCCCAGGAGAGTTCTGTGTGACCCGGGGGCTCTCTACCAGCCGAACGGGGACCCCATGTTCAAATACAGTCCAAGGGCTTTTTTTTCCAGCATCTATCATGCGTTTATTGGGGAGGGGACTGTTTATAAGTAGATAAAGAATTGCAGTTTTCACTATGAGGAATGACATCCAATCCCTTGTAGATCTAAGATGTAGGAGTTTTAAAGTAATGGAAAATAACACATAGGAAGTAAAAGTAATAGTTTTGAATGTTCTCAGAAGTATCATAGAAGCTTTGTAGGCTAGAGCACCCAAGACATCTTCATAGAACAGAACAGCAGTACTCATTTATTTTTAACAGCTGAGATTAGGGATACCAGCTGTATTGTGGAAACCCTGGTGGCGTTGTGGCTAAGAGCCACGGCTGCTGCAAACAGGTAAAGTAGTGAAGTGGGCGAGTGCAGTCTAACAGGGAGCGGTCAAGACCAAAAGCAGGCAGCTACTCAGATAGAAAAAGGGCCTAGTGTTGATAAACCTAAATTTTTATTAAGAAAAATCTGAATTGGGTGAACCAAAAAGAACAGCCACAGGCCATCAATTTGCAAGCCCTGGTCTAAATAGATACTTTCTAGTAAACGCTACTGATGATGGTCAATGTATTTTATTTCTGTTTGCAATTCAACTTTTATTTTATGTCCACTTAATATTAGTCTCTATAGAATACAGCGGAAAAGCTTTAAGGCATACTCTGCTCCGTGTAACTAACACTGTAGCTATGGATATAAATGAATAAACATTAGATTTGCTGCATAGCTTATATTTTCTCTTAGTTTTTTAATGGTATAAATATAGTACAAGCTTTAAAAAAATTCAAACACAGAAGTATATGATACGAAAAGTTTCTGTCATCATTATTCCTAACCTTTGCTTACTCTCCACGAAATAGCCACTAAAAACCAATTGGTTATATAGTCTCAGACTTTTTTTTTAAGATTGTGGGTGTAATATGTATTATATTAAATAATTATCATACTGCATAAGGCTCATACTCTATCTATATAATACATATATGTTCTTCTGTAGCTTGCTTTTTAAATTCAGCTATATATCTTAGCTATTTGTACTGTTGAAGCTTTAAAATCAAATATTTTAATCTAATAATAAATATGACGACTTTTTTAAAAATTAAAACTATTTGATGCCTATATGATCAAAGTTGTTATTATAAAGTCATAACAAGGGCTGTCATGATGGTATGGATATTGCAGATGGCAGGCACTTCAGAAATACTTTTAAAATTTTGACTCAAGACTATTCCAGCCAAAAGGTGTGTGTGCCTTTTTTTTGTTTTGGTTTTGGTCTTAGAGCAATTCTAGAAGTAATGTGGAAGAGAGTGGGGCTAGATAAATCACTCAGTAATTGGACTGGGCCAGACAAAGAAAATCACCCAGTGTAAAGATCTCAGCAGAAAAGAGTCTTGAGCTTCAAAGTGAAGCCGAGACCCTCACACGCAGAAGTCAAAGAACTGATCGTTAAAGACCTCAGTTAGAGGTCCTTGTCCTTGCTGTGTCCTATGAGAGGCTTTAAAATAAAGCAATCCACCTCATTGGGTGTCAGCACTGACATCATTTCATTAAAAACCCTCCAAGTTATGTGCACTTTAGGATGTCGCTGTTAATTGAGAAAGGAGACTGCCTTTGAATACTGAGGTTACAATGGGACCGGAGAAGTCAATCAGAAAAGAGAAAGAGACTTAGTAAAGGGAAAATCAGGCCCCAAACTCAATTTAAAAGCGTGTTCAGAGAAATTTACACAACAGATGGTTGATTATGTGGGACAAGGAGGTGTTTGCCGGCATGATTCTCAAGGAGTGTGAGGGGAGCAGTCTTTGGGAAGATGCCTTTTCTCAGTTTGATGAGCCCGTAGAATATAGTGTGTGGCTCCATTTTTAGAATCCAAAGTACGTCTCTATTAAGGACACCAGATTGTTTTATTTTTTTCACAGTATTCTTGCGATTCAAAAATATATTGATTTAACATCCAGACACTTTGTGCTGTATTTTTAGTTGTTACATAGTCTCTCCATGCTGCACTTGATTAGCAAGCTGTAGATCCCATATGCTTCCTAATTTTGTCAGAAACATTTTTGTCTCAACTGGTATATGGTGCTGCATGTTTGCCATCACGAGAACAGGGGTCTTAACTTTTTTTCTCTTTGAATTTTTAATTTATTTTTTAATCCCAGATTTGATCCATAAAACATTGACATGTCCCACGGTTAAGGTGACCTGCATCCTGGTCTGCCAGGACAGTCCTGGTTTACAGCTGTGGTACCAGAGAAAACCAGCTGACAGGTCACTTTCTAGTCAGCTCCAACTCACGGCGGTCTCCCGTGTCTCAGTCTAGAACTGTGCTCCACAGGGTTTTCAGTGGCTGATTTTTTAGAAGTAGATCACCAGGCCTTTCTTCTGAGGTGCCTCTGGGTGGACTGGAGCCTTCAACCTTTCGGTTGGCAGCCGAGTGCATTAGCTGTTGGCGCCACCCAGGGACTCCTGGTTCTAGAGAAATTATTAATAATTTTTCTTTCACTCTCAAAGTGTTCTTGATTGGACAACAAATTAATCATATGACCTCTAAGAAACATGTAATAGGGTAAAATTTTAAATTGGGACCACCAATAACATAATTGAGGGCAGAAACAAGACCAAGTGTTGGAGCTAGAAGATGCATTATCAGGCTATTCGGCACATCCTACACTTGTTATTTTGTGCCCTGAATTTGGTTCTGAGCTTCTTAGAGGCCGAAACAAAATGGTTTATATAATTGTTAGGATCCATCAAAATTAAAAATCATACCAGTTCTTCAGGAAAAGTCAAAGCAAGCATTCGCCATAGCAACTGCTTATGTAATCATATAAAAAAGAATTTTAAAGACATGTCTGTTTCATCTAGGAAAATTCATCTCTCACTTGGCTGTGAAGAATTGCCACAGGGTTTTTTTTGAGACACTGAGTTTGGAATAACTTGTTTTGAAATCTAGAGGGTTGGTTGCTGTGGGAGAGCCATTAGCTAAAGAGAGAACAAAGATGCCCAACGCCACACACTACCCAGCTGGGAAGGACCATTCGTGATGGTGCCAGTGGAGCTCCCTGCACCATCCTGTCTAGACCCTCAATAGCCTTTCAGCATCCCTCACCTGGACAAGCACAGGAAGGACACTGCCTCCCGGGGCTGCAAGTTGTATCCTCAGAAACTCTTCCCCGGTGCTAACCTTGTATCTGCCTGCCCGAAGTCATTCTGAGTAAACACAGAAGGTGTGACTTCTGTTCAAACCCATTTGCAGAAGAGTTGAACTTTCCTCAAGGCTAAAATGCACCTGTGACGACCTTCACAAAAATTCCGTCATAGCTTTGGGCACCCAGCACCTCGAATTTCCTGTGTGCATTAACAGGAGTGGTCATCTAATGTGGTCTTGAAAGAAAGCTCCCACTTGGCGGCTGGGTAGTTTCTTCCATGGTAATTAATCCAGCAAGTCCCTAAAGTCTTTCCCACCTCTATCAGACAGGCACCCTTTTCAAAGGATCTTGGTAGCTGGAAACTGGGGTTAATATTTTTTAAGGCTGTGTTTCCTATAATTTCCAGTGTTTGCCTACGTGGAAAAAAATACTCCTAACCAGCTAAACTATTAAATTATAAACTGAATTTTTCCACGCTGAAAGGTGGGCTCAGATGACTGAAGCCTTCCCTGTTACACAGTATGTGCAAATCAGGCGTAAACCACATTGTCGAGGAAATACGAAAAGCCGTGTATTTCAGAAGAGCAAATTTCCATTTATTAAAGTCTTATCAATAGTTAAGTGAGAAATATCATCTGTCTTTATGTAAAAAGCAACCGAGTTTGTCTGATATTTTAGGTTTGTGGATCACGGTCTCTGTCACAACTATTCAGCTCTGCTGCTGCAGAGCAAAAGCAGTCACAGGCACGTGAGTGAATGAACACGACTGTGTCCCGATAAATCTGTGTTTGTGGACACTGAAATTTGAATTTCCTGTTATTTTCACACATCATGAAATATTCTTCTTTTGACTTTTTAAAAATTATTTTTAAATGTAAAAAGTATTCTTAGCTCACAGGCCATACAAAAAATAGGCAGCAGGCAGGATTAGGCCCACAGGCTGTAGTTTGCTGACCCCTGTAATAATTAAACATTTATCGAGCAGGTACTATGTGCTAGATCTTGCTCTAAGTGCTTTAAATGCATCAGCCTAGTTAACCTTCACTGCAACCTATGAAGTAGATATTAGTATCTTTTACAGATGAGGAAACTGAGGCTTAGGGAGATCAAACAGCTTGCCTGAAATTGCACCATTAATAAGAGGCAGGAGTAGACGCAAACCCTGTGGTTCCAGAGTCCATGTCCATAAGCCCTCAACAAGATTGCTTCTCACATATAGTGTTTTTTATATGTTGTTTGTAAAAAACGTTGATTATACAGGATAAATCACAAAGTGCTGTTTACCATTTTGTAGTGGTTAAAACAAGCAAAGGTGGAAACTGTTACCATCTGAAGGGAACCACCACCAAGTCATAACTTTGCAGCCCGGACAACTGCCGTGCTGGATACATTTCAGGAGTCAGCTAAGACTAGTTACATCAAGGAACCAAACGAAGACAATCAACTGCTTTAAAATTTTATTTTCAAAGGGAAAAAAATAAGAGTTACTTTCAGGAAATAAATAAGTGATCGACCCACCCTAGTCAGTTGGGACATTTTTAAAAAGATTCCATAAAGATAATTTTGGCCTAAGATAAATCCGAGGGGGTCTTCCTAGTAGCTCATTTAAAACCTGTTTCACCTGAGCAGGTCTAGGAGCCTGATGTATATTTATGTGTAATCTGTGATATTTTATGCATGAGGCTGGGATCTCTCAGTGCTGAGGAAAGGGCTGGGTAGCCAGGATACCGAGGCTGCACCTCTAAATGGCGCCAGAAAAGATAAAAACTCTGGACCACAGCAACTGGATGGTGTAGCGGAAGGGGCACACTGGAGGCTTGGATTCCTGTCCCCGCTCAGCTGGCTCTTTTATTGTCTGTGTGACCTCAGGCAACTTACTTAACTTCTCTGAACCTCCTGTTGCTTGACATAAAAGTACCTCATCAGCCCTACCCTTAGGCAAGATATCAGAGTTTGGCAAGGGGAATGCACAGTGCAGATCTGAAGCGTCGTGTTTGGTGGGACACAGACAATCAGGTGTAGACACTGCTGGGTTATGTGCTGTTTCGCCTGCCTGGAGGCAGTCTTCTTCTTGATAAATAACAATAAGCATTTTTCAGACTCCTTGCTAAGCCTGTCAGATTCATAACAAGCCTTTGAGGTAGACAGTATCACACCTGTTTTTAACGTGAAGGACAGAGCTCAGAGAAGCCAGGTAGCCTGCACAAAGTTGTCTAGCGTAGAGGTGCATAACCCACGCTCCCACCTTACTTTACCAGCCTTTGATCTAGGGAGCACGTTGATGACGGCATCAGGACAGACTCCCCGTTCCTGAGACCTGTGCACTTTAAGGAGCCTTCAGTCCTGCCTCCCAATAAAAACCACATAGCTCAGAGTTGGTCTCCAAAACAAACTGCTGAATTGGATTAGTAGTGCTGGCGTAATATCATAGTAGCTAACAATTTCAGACACCTACTGTGTGTACCCATTTTTAGAGAAGGGGAAAATGAAGCTCAGAGAGGTTAGGGACTTTGTCTAAGGTCACACAGCAAGGATAGGGTGAAGATTGGAACTCAGATCCAACTCTAGAGCCTCACCTGTGCTACTAGACTGCCTCTAGTTCTGTGTTTTATGGGCACAGATACGTCTCCCATTTCTCAAAAGCCCTGTTTAACAAACAAAGCAAAACAGTTCTTATGGTCAAGATACAGGGAACAATTCGCTCTGAAGAAAAAGATGAAAACTTTCTTTCCATTTCGGTGGTGTTCTGGGGTGGCTGTGAAGTCTGAGCTGTTCGAGCCCCGGGTGGGTGAGCCCTGACTTCCTAGGATTCTGTAATCTTCCTGTTTCCATGATGAATTTGGCAAGTCACTGGCTGCTGGTAGATGTGTTATATAATTTCCTCTATGGGTCACATCTGGAAAATGCATGTACAGGGTTGCATGCCAAGATTAAATTTGCACTGTGATGCTTTGCAAGGCGTGCAGCACACCCTTGTCACAGGGAAGTTAACGGAACCAGCGCACGACTCTCTCCGTAAGTCAGAGTAGGAGCAGTTTCGCTCCATCCTGTTTATCTGTAGAACAAAATCAGTGGTTGTCAGGAGAGATCGGTGGCACAGAATGAATGAGGTGAAACTGCACAGTTTCAGGATGGTCTCCCGCTAGGACGGTCCAGAGGGCAGAGAGGGAGCATCCAAATGCCCATTGGCACCTGTTGCCTTCTACATTTTTAAAATTGAAGGACTGTGAATGTTCCAGCCTTGCAAGGTAGCTACAGCCCGTTTTACAGATGTAGAGACTGAGGTTCAGCAGAGGTTGAGTTAAAGGAAAATGCAAACCTAGATTTCAGAGGCCTGGTCCTTTCCTCTGTAGTCTGCCACCTCAGGTTGCTTCCGTACAGGACAGGAAGTCACAGAAGAGGGAGCAATGGTGGGGGTAATTATAATGCAGAGTGTGCATTCCTTTTGTTTTCTCAGGCCAAATAATGGTGGAAAATACTGTGTAGGGCGCAGAATGAAATTCAAGTCCTGCAACACAGAGCCGTGTCTCAAGCAGAAGCGGGACTTTCGAGATGAACAGTGTGCTCGCTTTGATGGGAAGCATTTTAACATCAACGGGCTGCCTCCCAGCGTGCGCTGGGTCCCCAAGTACAGTGGAAGTAAGTACCTCCGGGGAAGGCGCCCGCAGTGGCAGGCTGGCGCTGGGCCCAGGCCGAGAGTCACGTTGCCTCGTGTCTCCTCTCTCTAGTTTTGATGAAGGACCGGTGCAAGTTGTTCTGCAGGGTGGCCGGGAACACAGCCTACTATCAGCTCCAAGACAGAGTGGTGGATGGAACTCCTTGTGGCCAGGACACAAACGATATCTGTGTCCAGGGCCTGTGCCGGGTAAGTCCCGGGTCACATTCTCCTCCCTGTGTTGCATCCCTGCCAAGATATGGTTTATGACGGACGTCCTTGAGAGACTCCACCTGCTCGTGTCTGTGCAGTGTCTCCAGCGCAGTGTTCTCCAAGCATGGTCTTGGACCAGCAGCGGCAGCAGCCCTGGATTCTATGCCTTCCACAGGTTGAGAACCACTGCCTTTGATTTTTCTGGACATTCTCAGCCTCTGTGGGGGTCTACATAAAACCTTCCCTTGAAGATTTATTAGAATTATTTACACACACATGCTTTTACTGTAACCTCCATGCTTAAGGTTAAACCCAAATGTTGTAGATTGAATATCTCTATTCCAGAAAGATGTCAGGAGGAAGAGCTGGCCTCACGCATCATGACTTTAAGCAACCCGAGGGCTTCTGCCTGACACCTGCCTGTTCAGTATTCTTGGAAGGGAAACCGAGAAACCTCTGGCAGATGGTGAAGCATCTGAGCCGTGATTTCTCCAGGGCTTGGTACTGGTTTGCTGTTCCATTCCCACCCTGGCCAGGCTCTGAGATGAGATGCATCTTCTCAGATGTTGTCCATAGGCAAATTGGAGTTATTGCTCGGTAGGATTTGACTGGAAGAGCCTCTGAGAGCTCCGCCCACTTCCTGACACTCACCCAGGGCACCAGTTTCCTGCTTGTCAGTCCGTTGTATGACGGCACATGGCATCTCCTCCAAGGCCAGCTAACGCAAAGGAATCAAGTGGACCCGAGTGTGAACTCCGGTCTTCTGGTCACCGTGGTGTCCTCAGAGTTCCACCTACACTGAGCAGTTTATCACCACCTGAGGGAATCCACTGGGAACCTGAGGCCTCCACCTGGCAGCCTGCCGTCCGCCTTCGGCCTGCGTTCATGGCCAGTATTTCAGCATTGGCGGATGTCTTAAGACATGGAATGTTCCAGCTCCCGTTTTCACGTGGCAGCAGCATCCTGGAGTGGACAGTGGCAGCTCGCTTAAACAGAGCGTGAGCGCTGTGATTGGACACGGTCCTCACCACTCCCCTTTCTTGTGAATGCTGAGTGATCTCATTTACTTATTCATAGGCCGATGCTTCGAAAACTTTAATCTGTAGATGAATTACTTGGGCATCTTGTTAACACGCCAACTCGGATTCAGTAGAGCTGGGTGGACCCCGAGATTCTGCATTCCTAACAGCCTTGGCAATGCCTATGGCTGGTGGTCCTAGGACCACATTTTAAATCTAAAGGTTCTTCTTGACTTTGCACATTGAAGGGGGACTTAATATTCCTGTCATTTTGAATGCATATCATTCAAAGAAAGCTGTTATTTGTCATTTTATAATTTCTATAATACTTACCATTTATTTCAAATGTTTTCTTTTTAAAGCAAGCTGGATGTGATCATGTTTTAAATTCAAAAGCCCGAAGAGATAAATGTGGCGTTTGTGGTGGTGATAATTCTTCATGCAAGACAGTGGCGGGCACATTCAATACAGTGCATTACGGTAAGAGTCTGCCCTGAGAACTCAGAGAAGGCAAATGGTCCGAGTTTAAACGTTGTTAACCACTGGTAAAATGTCAAAGTATTAATGTCAAGCATAGAATCAATCTTGCTACGGTGCATTATCCGTCGGCTGTAAGGTGCCCGTTGGTGAGAATTATGCTGCTTTGCTGCCCACATTTTATTCCGTGCTTAGAGAAAGTGAACCCGTCTGCGGAGTACTGAATTTATGCTCAATCCTTTCCAGGTTACAACACAGTGGTCCGAATTCCAGCTGGCGCTACCAGCATCGATGTGCGGCAGCACAGCTTCTCAGGGAAGGCAGAGGATGACAACTACTTAGGTGAGGTGGGATGCCCTCTGCCACTGGCGGGAGTCCTGGGTCTCTGGGGCACTTGTTGGTTTTCATTTCCTTCGCCCAGTTTTACATGGAGAGCTTTCATATGACACGTGTTTTCATGAAAGGAGACGATCTTGCAGTTCGTTATTTTATTTCTCCCTCCTACACACACTCTCAGAGTATTGATTTATTCTCTGTAGTGATGGTCATCCAGATCAAGGGGGTTACAAACCCTCAATGAGATGGAACAACACAACAACCACAAGAACGGACTCAAACATACCAATGATCATGAACGTGGCACAGGACCAGGCCGGATTTCGTTTTGTTATACATAAGATCGCCCATGAGTCAGAGCCAACTTGATGGCACCTAACCACAACAGTCACTCTGGATCTTTGGAAACAGAAAGGCCCCGAATCAAACGTGAAAGGCCTTACCCTGTACGTTTACCATAAATCATGGCTTCTATTGAGGTTCTTAAGAAGCTGGTTGTGTGGGTAACTGACTTGCAGCTGCTTTATCAGAGGCATTACTTGACTTAATTTTGATGTCATCAGTGCTAACCAGTGGCAGATCGCTGTTGGAGGTATTCAGTATCCTTCAGTCTGGCCATTCTGAAAGATTCTATGACAGTGCATATTTTTCTCATGTCGTTACTAGAACAGCCCAGTTGGCTACTTTATAGATCTTTCATCCTCTTCTCATTGAGCGCAGGCACCTGATTAACTCAGATCAATTCCTTGTTATCTAACCCACAACACACCGATGACCTTGTGTTGATTTTCCCCGGTTGGCTCAGCTGGTCCTCCATCACTTCAGTTTATAGTTTTGTAAATCGCTGTAAGTGATTATGAAATCCGCCCAACCACAGCATGGGGAGCGGCAGAGTGCCTGAAACAGATGCAGCTGAAGCCTGAGCACCTCACTCAGTAGACTCCTTCTAGGCCTGACACCGCACTAGGATCTGAGGCAAACGAAGGCAGTCCTCTGGGCAGCCAATTTTAAAAAGAAAGGAATGTCCTTTCTCTTGTATGATGTCCAGGCAGGAACTCTGCTTTGTGTGTCTGAACACAGCCTCCAGAGGCTTGTCCCAAACATCTGGACATCTTGAGCTCTTAGATGAGTGTTTGTTGAACTGAAGTAGAACCTATGTTGGTGTTTTGGAATATCTGCATGAAATCCTGCACAGAAGCCTAGTGCTCCTTCAGGCAGGCATGCTGACCAAGTATAATGTTTATACATGACTCCATGACAGCATTTTCTGCAGTGTTATCATTCATTCACTTATTTAATATATACCAGGCTCCCTTCTAGGCACAGTGAACAAAACAGAACCCCAAAATAAATAAGTAAATAAATCCCTGTCCTGTTAGAGCTTACTTTTTACTGGGAGGAGATAGGCAATAAACAATAAATAAGCAAATTATATACTATTAGAAAGTGGTAAGTGCTATAAGAAAAAATAGGGCAGCATATGGAACACTGAGAGATTGGGGCTGGGATGGGGACAGTTGGGTTGAAATGTTTGAATTGCACAGAGAGAGAACAGGTCATCTGGGGGAGCGCATCCCAGGCGGAGGTGCCAGCCATAGCAAAGGTCTTGGAGTAGAGGCATGTCCAGATCGCTGGAGGAACAGAAGGGAGGACGGTGTGGCAGGAGCTGAGTGAGCGCAGGAGGGAGTTGTGGAGGTGAGATTAGAGAGGTGATAGGGCTCGATCCTATAGGACTGGTCTTAGTGTCCTAGGGCCAAAATGACAGAACGCGACAAGTAGGTGGATTTGAAGAACAGAAATTTACTGTCTCAGAGTTTTGGAGACAGGAAGTTCCCATCAGCACCGGGTCCCAGGAAGGGTCCTTCCTTGACAGTAGCCCTGGGCATTTCTTGGCGTTCCTTGACTTAGAGACGGTTCCTCACATAGATACTTCTCCCTGTGTGTGTGTCTGTGTCTGTTCTGCTCCGAAGGCCTTCAGCTGATGGGGTGAGTCCCACCCGCGTTACGGAGGGTGATCGGCTTTACTCAAGGCCGACTGATTCAATCACACGTAATCGCTTCATAACAGCATCTGGACTAGTGTTTGACCAAATAACTGGACATACAGCCTAGCTAAGTTGACACATGAAATTAACCATCACTGGGCCCTATAACCAAGGAATTTGGCTTTTACTCGGAGAAATGGGTAACTACTAGAGGTTTTGAGCCAAGGAATGATATGATACAAATGATCATATTTATGTTTTAAAAGGATCACTCTGGCTGTTATGTTGAAAGTAGGTGGTGGGGGGAGAGAGGCAGGGTAGAAGCAGGGAGACTGGGTAGACAGTTATTGGAATAACCCAAGACACAGATGCTAATAGTTTGGCTGGAAGTAGGAGCAATGGAGGTGGTGGTATGTGGTGAGATTCTAGATATGTTCTAAAGGTAGAGCCATCAGATTTGTTTTTGTTTTTTTAATATTTTATTGTATTTTAGGTGAAAGTTTACATAGCAAACTAGGTTCCCATTTAATGTTTTTATACAAATTATTCCATGACATTGGTTACATTTTTCTCAATGTGTCAACATTCTCATTATTTCTATTCTATTTGTTCTATTTCCATTGATCTAGCTTCCCAGCCCCTCCTTAGCTTCTCATCTTTGTTTTAGGGTAAATGTTGACTGTTTGATCTCATATAGTTGATAACTTAAGGGAGCACAGTATTCTCGGGTGATATTGTTTATTCTATAAGCCAATCTATTGTTTAGATGGAAGGGTGACCACCAGGAGAGGCTTCAGTTCCAAGTTCAAAGGGTATCTTAGGGCAGTAGTCTCAGAGGTTCTGCTAGTCTCTGTTATTCCAATAAGTCTGGCCTTTTTTAGGAATTTCAGTTTTGTTCTCCATTCTCCCTTCCTAACCAGAGCCTTCTATTGTGTCCCTGGTCAGAATGGTCAGCAGTGGTAGCTGGGCACCAACCAGTTCTTCTGGTCTCAGGCTAGATGAGGCTGTGGTTCATGTGGGCTATTAGTCCTGTGGACTAGTTTCTTCTCTGAGTCTTTGGTTTCCTTCATCTCTTTTGTTCCATACCAGTAGAGACTAATAGTTGTATCCTAGATGGCTGCTTGCAAGCTTTTAAGACCTCACACACTACTCACCAACTAGGATGCAGAACATTATCATTATGAACTATGCTATGCCAGTTGACCAAGCAGTCCCAGGAGACTGTGGTCCCAAGCCTTCAAACCCAGTCAACCAGTCCCATGAGGTGTCTGGTTATGTCTAGGAAGTATCTGTAACTGTGCCTCTTATGTGGTTTATTATATATATGTATATGTATATGCAGCACACATAAACATGTATACACGTGCCTACAGATACGCCTATACGTGCACACCCATATAGTCACGTGTGCCTTCCTGTACACATGTATGTGTTCATGTCCACCTACCTACAGATACACCTATACGTGCACACCCATGTAGTCACATGTGCCTTCCTGTGCACATGTACGTGTTCATGTCCACCTGTGTAACCACACACACCTTTTTTGGTTGTCGTTACTGTTGTTGCAAATTGTATGTTATAGCATTTATCAACATTTTTGCTTATTCTTGCAAACTTCCTTTTATTTTTTTTTTTTTTAGGCATTTAAAGTTAATTTTACTCTCAAGCAGGTAAAAAAAATTTCAAAAGAAATAATCACAAATCACATTGATAATATAGTTAGTACTGTGATTGACTTATGTTACCAAAAAGCAATTTTTAAATTTAATGCCGTGGCTGGAGAACTGCACAAGTGTGATTTTTATTTATTAATATCACATGTATAGATGATAGGATAATTATAATATCAGTTACTCCTTTTTAGAACGTTTTTAAAACAAATCTGCTCATCTTTTTCTCAGAATATTATTTATTTTTAAATTCTTTATCCAATTTTACAAATGAAATTATATTAAAAACCCTTATAAATTATTGAATGCAGATAAAAAACAAAGCCCTCTGAAAATTTTTATATTGATAGAGAATTTTTTACTGATTACCCTATTAAAATGAAAATTAAATAAGACATAATCATTGCCAATTTTGATGAATATGTGACATATTTCTCTCTCTCTCTCTCTCTCACACACACACACACAGAGTATCAAATCCCAGAGAAATGTTATACTTTTGGACACTCGATATTAGAAATTTGATTAGAGTTTCATATTATGTGAATTTAAAATAGATTTGCTTCAAGAATTTTTGAAAATGATGCAAAACTCTCATTTCCCTCTAATGGCTTGGGGTTTCACAAAAGCATGTGAAAAATCACAGCTTTTTCTTACAAACGTCTTTATTGGAATTACACCCGTAGCCTTCCTGTCCGACAAACAATGAAGTGTGTTGCTGATAGTTATCGGTCTTCCTTTGCATTTTATGCACAATTCAGAATTTATTGTTGAGCTGCTCTGAGAGAAATGAACTCATATAATGAAGTAATATATATATACATATAAATATATGTATATATAAATATACATATAAGTAAATATATACATATATGTATAAACCTGTGGCCATTGAGTTGATTCTGACTCATAGCAACCCTATAGTGCTTCTATTCATCCAATCATTCAACAAGAATGTACTGTCTATGAACTTTTCATAAAAAAAATTGGCTTGTAGATGGTCCCTGCCCTCAAGAAACTTTAAATGATTATAGTTACTATGATAAAGGTATTCACAGGTCTTGCAAACTTCTTAATGTCTTCATTTACCTTGGACACGTTGTGCAGGCTTCACCCATACTGGGTGTTGTCTTTCTTGTCACCAAAAATAACAAATGTCTACTATCTAGAAAGTGATTCCTCCCCTCTCCTCCCCCTCGCATCGCTGGTAACCATCAAAGAGTGTTGCTTTCGTTGTATATACCTATTCTTGACTTTTTATAAAAGTGAGATCGTACAATATTTGTCCTTTTGTGATCGACATATTTCACTTAGCATAATGTCTTCCCGTTTCATTCGTGTTATAAGA